GAAGGATAATGATGATTTATAACACAAGACCAAGACTGGAAAATGAATTCTGATTAGTTCCTGATTTTTGTGTGCTTCATAATTGGATATAATTCCTGCCAGCGAAGTTATCATCTTTCTCTTTCTTCAAGACTTTATTTACCCAATCTAGTTAACTTTTGTACTCAATCTAGACTAGGATTACGACCCCCTTCCCTGTCCACAGTTTTGAACAGGTGGTTGACATCGACTAAAAGAGGAAAGATGTCAGATTAACAGCCAGTTCTAAATATTTGTACTTCACAATACATAGCCGACACAGCTTTATGGGAAAAGGCTTACATGAGGGAAGACAGAGAAGAGAACATAAATAATGTGAAGTGTATCAAAACTGAAGAGATATCAAACTCCTCTATAAATACTTACCTACTGACTGAGTGATTACAAAAACATCTAATATAGTCTTCAATTAACATTAAAACAAAAGAAAATGTGGAGAAGTCATTCAGAATCCATGTTCATCTTCATAAATTATTAAATTAACGATACAACAAGTGGGGCATTCTGGAAAAAGTCATCCTGACTAATCATGATATGTTTTTACAATGATAGAACCATAAAAATAAAATGTTAGTCTGACTGCAGCATGTCCAGGCGAAGACAAATTATAAGATTCTGTTTCTTTGTATTTCCAAGCTCTTAAAGTCTGAGAAATGATGAGTCACTGGACTTGCGCTCGTAGTGACTGAGGGGGTCAAAGACCAAGAAGTGAGTTATGTATACCAAGCATGCTTACGAAATCTGGTTCTTTTGGGGTCATAGTTGATGGTTTTTTCAATTTTTCTTAATCCCACCTCTACTAAAATATCTCCTTTCATTAGAAACATAATAGTACGTTAATAACACAGATGCTGAATGTTCAGATGCATACAAGAATTAGCTTCAACATAATACTAGCTAATTTTTCCAAACTGAAATCTGTTTTAATGGATCATAACACAGGAATCTGCATGTAAACATGTTACTAAATACAAAACCACTATGGTTGACACAATGAGTTTCCATTGTTAGTTTTCTTTTACATGTATTTGTTCTTTATGTTTGTTCCCATTACTGTAGGCATATAAAATTACTTATAGGTCCCTTAGCTCAGCTCGGCACGAACCGACAAACCAACGAGGCGACGAAATCGACGAATCGCACGCAAGCAACGGAATACATCCATTCGCGTGCGGGATCAAGCCAAGTGTTCGAAGAGTCAACGAGTCATCCAACCGAGAGCGGACTCGAACGAATCACGATCGAATCAAGATCGGTTTCGGACTCCAACTCAGAAGCGGATTTACTGCCTAAATCGGGATCCGGATTTACTGCCAAATCAGATCAGCAAATCGAATCCGAACCTATCAACTGCAGAACCGGAAAACGGGCACAAAGAGGCAAAACGACAAACACCTGGAGGTCGGTTCTAGGAAGGAGTGGAGATGAATAACATCATCCCTCTCTCTTGGGGAAGATCCCCTTCTAATAATAGGATGCCAAAGCCATGAACCATTTGCCCATCTACCTTGCGAACTGATGCTACAATTACTCGAGAAGGCAAGCTTGTAAGCATGGGGAAAGAGGCTGCTAAGGGTGTTAGCTGCTGCCCATTTGTCATGCCAAAAACTGCTCGAAGTACCATTACCGACATTCCATCTGACAATGCTGAAGAAAGTGGATTGAGCTGAGAGAAGGTCCTGGAAAAATCTTGAGTGTGCCAACTTCGGATGATTAGCAAAAGGGTTAGCTCCATGTTTGGAATATATAGAAAAAAACACTTCACTGAGGAATGATGATCTATCCCAAATTTTCCAGATCCATTTGGAGAGGAGGGCTGAATTAAAGGAGGGGATATCAATCACCCCAAGCCCACCTTCAACTTTGGGTTTACATACTATACCCCAGTTAATGAGGCACTTGGATCTAGAGAAGCTGTGGCTGCCATTCCAGAGGAAATTTCTTCTGATTTTATCAATGGCCTTGGAGACCCATATCGGCAACTTGAAGAAAGACATGTAATAAAGGGGAATAGAGGAGAGCACTGAGTTCAGCAATGTTAATCTGCCTCCTATTGAAAGAGTTTTGTTCTTCCATAAAGATAGCTTTTTTTTAAAAGATTCTAGGAGAGGTTGCCACTCTCTTTTGGATAGAGATCCCCTTTTCAGGGGGAGACCCAGATAAGAGAAAGGGAGGGTACCGACTGCACAGTTGAGGGTTTCAGCCAGGAAATTGCCTTTATGAGGGATTTTCCCAAGATAGTACAGATTGGATTTCTGAGGGTTAGCACAAAGCCCTGAAATGCTGGCAAAAATTGAAAGAATGGATTTGAGAGTTACCATATCAGAGGAGTTAGCCCTGGAGAAGATCAGGGTGTCGTCCGCAAATTGAATAGATCTGATGGAATTGAGTTTACCTTTCAATTTGAGATCGGAAAGGTCACCTGCTGTTCGCTGGAAAATTCGTAGGTTTCTTTGTTATTGATTCCATTGTCATCTTGAGTTACAACTTTTTGAGTTACAAAAGATCCGGTCTTTTTATAAGATCCGGTTACAACGAAAATCAAATTGAAAAGAAATGAAAATTACAACTTTGTTTCCTTGTTTGTCGAACGAATCACGAGCTCCTGTTTTGCGGTCGCTCGCTTTGTGGGTTCTTTGCCTGCGCCGGGGTTGTTTGCCGTGGACCACCGCGAGATCTAGATCCGGTCGGATCTACGCAGTACGACGGGTATTATTTCACCAAGGAAATAATAGCCGGGGAGGATTGTTTCACCAAGGAAACAATCGTCCAAGTCTCGGGATCTAAGACCAAGCTTAGATCCGGAGTATGCCTGCGTAGATCTGAGATCTGATCCTCTCGAACACCTGCCTTATTTGACGTTGATGATCGCCGAGCACCAGATCTGAAGGAGTGAGTCCCCGAAGTCCCAAAGTTTCAATCTTTTTTAAGTTCCGAGTCTCCAATCCAGCAGGGCTTCGCCTCTCTCCAAAATTTCCAACCCTCTCAAATGAACAAGGGGGTGGCCTATTTATAGGCTACCCTCACTGTGCCTTGGGCACAGTGTGGCCGGCCACCTAGGTGGCTCGGCGGCCACCGAGCCACCAATAGGTGGCTCGGCCACCGAGCCACCACCTGGTGGCTCGGTGGTGGCCGAGCCACCTTGGTGGCCGCCGAGCCACCAAGGAGGTGGCTCGGCCTCCGAGCCACCATTTGGTGGCTCGGAGGTGGCCGAGCCACCCCAAGGTGGCTCGGCCACCGAGCCACTTAGGTGGCTCGGCCGAGCCACCACTTGGTGGCTCGGCCACCGAGCCTCCTTGGTGGCTCGGTGAGCCGACCTCCAGGTGTTTGTCGTTTTGCCTCTTTGTGCCCGTTTTTCGGTTCTGCAGTTGATAGGTTCGGATTCGATTTGCTGATCTGATTTGGCAGTAAATTCGGATCCCGATTAGGCAGTAAATCCGCTTCTGAGTTGGAGTCCGAAACCGATCTTGATTCGATCGTCATTCGTCCGAGTATGCCTTTGGTTGGATGACTCGTTGACTCTTCGAACCCTTGGCTTGATCCCGCACGTGTATGGATGCATTCCGTCGCTTGATGCGATTCGTCGATCTCGTCGCCTCGTTGGTTCGTCGGTTTGTGCCGAGCTGAGCTAAAGGACCTATAAGCAATTTTATATGCCTACAGATACCCCCTCCAAAGTATTTCAGTCTCGTTCTTTTATAGAAGAGTCTGGAATACTTTGGATATGATTGTCCCCACCTTCAGTCGGTGTAATGGGACCTTGGAATGACTTCCGTTCTTGATTCCTTCAATCTTCCAGGCTATTCGGTGCTTTGTCGAATGTCTGCAAGAGTTCCGGTGCTGCATTTATTGTCTGACCGTTGTCGGAAATTCGAACTTGAAGTCAATTCCTGGTTTTCTGATTTTTAGCTCGTGTTTGTTGGTTGAACACAGAACTGACCATCGACTGTCGGCGTTGAGTCTTTATTTGCGACGCGTTGTCCGGCGTAGTGTTGTTGAGTTATCCTTAAGAATGATAATTCTCGCAGGAAGCCTTCTCACACAATAGGGAAATAGTTTTACTCGTAATACCTTATTTGGAGTATTTAAGAAAACAGTTTATACTCGTATACTTTTGTCGGAGTGTTAAGAAGCAGTTTCATACTGCGTATATCTTTTCGGAGTGGTGATTCTTTCGTTGGCAACGTATTGATAGGCGTTGACCTAGGGTCACAGCGTTGCCCGGCGTTAACTAGGGTTTTGATTGTTTGTACGTTAATTTTTGCTCCGCAACGCGTTGACGTGGCGTTGACGTGATGCTGGATCACTGCGTTGACACGACGCATTGACCCTAGGGTTTTTTGAAGCCCGTCGTACGTTGAATTTTTTTGCTGCGCACCGTTGACTGCGTTGACCTAGGGATACGCGTTGTCGCGGCGTTTCCTTAAGGGTTTCGACACGGTGCGTTGGATGCTCAAGTGCAGCGAAGACCACTCAATGGAGCTGATGCGTCAGTGACTCTTCGTATTTATAGGATTTTGGGCAAAAACCCTCAGGCCATTAAGCGGGTTTGATGAGCTTTACCGAGACTAGCGTTTGAGTCGGGCTAGCAATGCGGATTGATTCCAAGTCCGTTCCGCATCGTGAGCGTTAGCTAAAAGAGTTAACACCTTTTAGTGCTACGATATTGAAATAGCGTAGACTTGTTCTTTCTCATGGGAATGGACTACCGCCGGCGACGCGTGTTAGGCGTCGACTTTGGGGTTTTTTGGCTAACGGCCCCAGCGCTTCAGCGGGTTTGATTTAGCCTTTACCGACTTACGTTTGAGTCGGGCGTAGCATGGGCGGATTGTCTAAATCCGTTCCGCTGTAACGTTGTGCCAAGAGAGTGAATTCTCTGAGACTTTGTGCTATGATGTTGAATACATTAGGCTTCGCCATTGTTACGGGAATAGGCTACCCGGGCAACGTGTATTAGACGTTGACTTATCCGCTACACTTAGGCTTCGGGATAAAATAACCCCAGAATCGTATTCTGGTGTCTTTTCAAATCGTAAAAGACTAAAAACACGGCGACGCGTGTTAGGCGTCGGCAATATCCTTTTCTTAAGGAATTCAGGATGAAATTCGCGCCATGTGCGTGTTAAGGCATGGATTTTGGTGTTATTAATAACAACCTGCCACAATGTTGAATATGTGGACCGGATGTTCTTTTCATACGGTTTAGAATGCTAACCGGCAGCGCGGGTTTAGGCACAGACTTATCCTTAGCTTAGTTTCAGTATAGAATACGCCCAGAACTCGAACCGGCTGGTGTCTTTTTGGCGGAAAAAGACTAAAACGCCGACGCGTGTAGGTGTCGGCATATCGCTTTCTTAGGATTCAGGATGAAATTCCGCCCATGCGTGAAGGAATGGATTTTGGTTGTTATTAATAACGACCACTGCCACATGTTGATAATGTGGACGGGTGTTCTTTTTAACGGTTAATGAACTAACGCCAGCCAGCGCGTGTAGGCGCAGACATTTATCCTTAACTTAGGTTTAGGATAGAATAGCCGGCAGAATCCGAATTGGTGTCTTTTTGTGCGGAAAAAGACAAAACGGACTAAGCTGAGCGTGTTAGGCGTTGAACGAGTTTGCCCTACTTAGGATTCCGGATAAAATTCCCGTGTACCTGTGAGGCACAGATTTTGGGGATTTGAAAAAAGGTGGTTGTCTTGCTCTTGGGCTAAAAGACGAACCCGAAAATGGGAGAGGAAGAATTTTTTATATTCTAATGCTCGCCGACAATGAAGAAGAATTTTATATTTATCTTCAAAAGCTGGAAAGGAGACTCGAAAGGTGGGAATCTCCACCGCCCAGAATCCGGAAAAGGCTGAAACTGAGAGTGGGATGCGCCACTCCGAGATCGAAAAGATTCGGATAACCCTAACTGTCGGAAGGTTTGATTACCGAACTAAGATGAATTTCTCAGTTTATCGAGAAGTGAATTGCGGTTTTGGTCTGAACTGTAGGAAGGTTTTGACCTAAAGTGGGTGTTTGAGACATGCCTAACTGTAGGAAGGTTTGAATCGGCTCAATTTGTGGACCTCTCGTTCATTGGGGAATGCGAAGAGGGGATTTTGAGCATGGTGGTCGCTAACTGTAAAAGGTTTGGAACAATGGGGAACCTTTACGTTCAGACTAATCAAAGAGAGTGTGAGCTAGCACAGACACGGTGAGGAATTTTGAATGGAGTTCTTATTTTGCATTACATTGCTGTGGTTTGGGAACTTCCTGCGTTACATAAATGCGTCCACCCCCAGTTTCGTTTGGCGGAAACTGGTTCGGACATTATTATCAGTTACTTAACCGGGTTATCCTTGAAGAATATTAGCTTAATATTTCTGCCAGGTAACTTCGCCGTTAAAAAGGTGAAAAGTGGCGTGGAGGATGTGGGAAAGACGAGTTAAGATGAAAGACAGTTTAGAATCTCATATACGCTATTGGAAGTATTAAGGAAGGGCACAGTTCCATGCAGTGCACTTGTGGAGGATTGAGAAACACCAGTTTATACTCGTATATCTCTTTGGAGTTTTGCGTTCTTTTGGCTTACGGCTTAGCGTTATGACGCCGGCTTCAACCAAGTCCGGATGCTATTTTCTTGAGAGCAAAGGCAATCGGCTTGGTGCGGATGAACGACCCTCATGTGGTTGCAAGTACTTTGGGTCGTAGTGTTGTCAGCTCCTCCCTGATTTGTGAATTAGGTGGTAGCTTGATCGTAGTTACCTTCAAGGAGGGAATTCGAAGATGGCTGGAAGCGTCTTCGTTCTTGAATGGAATACTCTCTTTGGAGTTTTCGGATCCTGAAGTCTTTTGCTGCCTTCGCGATTGCTGTTGTGACGCTCTGATTAGCACCACCAGTAGCTGCAGGTTTTTTTGCCCTTACGCCACGAAGGCGAAGTTTGATCGCAGATGGATTAGCGCGTCGGGTAGTGGTTCTCTCAGGCCATTCTTCCTTCGGAGGAAAAGCGTTCAGGGCCTTGCTCCTCCTCGGACGGCTTCAGATCCTGCACGCTTTTGGACGGTGCTGTGCCGCATTGCTTCCAAACGTCCAGAGAAAGGTGTTAGTGGCAAGGTCTGGAGGATGAAATTCATTGGTGATCGGGTCCCTGCAATTAATCGCCTATTCCGGAGACGCTTTTGACGAAAGGTGTCGACTAACATCTGCGCGTCTTTCTGGGGCTTCTTCATCGAGCAATGGCTCCGATAGATATCTCGGTGTCGTCGTCGGAAGAAGTTTGGGAGGAACATGGTCTCGGACATATCGTCCCAGCTGTTCACTGAGCTACTTATGGCTTGAGGTGACGGCGATGACGCAATCGAAGGCGGCTCCCGCGAAGAGTGCCGACGAATGACCGCACACATCAAGAGGCTCGATTGCCGGAGAATAATACCAGATCGATTGAAATAATCAAAATGCTGAGTGGGTGGAACCCTTCGCCATGCGAACGGGCGTGAAAGTTGATTAAACTGAACTTTCGGCCGGACTAGGGGATCGATTCACCACTCTCTTCTGGGTATGGACAAGGAATGCCCGTCTTCTTCACTCTGAGAGCGGAGATCAATGGTGTTTGATTTTGCTCTGAGTCTTTGAATCTTCAAGTTTTCATACTGCATCTTCGTTGGCAGATCCTCATTACCACCCTGCATTGACGGGAGGTTATTGGCAATTGTGAGCTTCATCGCGCTATCCATGTGCTCCTCATTGCTGAACAACCTGGTTAGCGGTGACTTGGTTCACCTTGTTGGTTTCCTGAATGCCTGGATTTTGTTGCTCATGCATGCTT